TGTAGAAAACGAAGCGTTTGAGAGAGGCGGGGCATAGAGGACCTACAATAATGTACAGTATTTGAAAAATAATGTTTTTTGAACATTAAAGCATGTCAACATATTCTGTTACACCAAATACACAAAATAATGATCTTTAAAAATGCTTCATATGACCCCTTTAAGAACATTCAAGTGATCTTAGCAGATTCATTTCAAAGTGGAAATTTTATGATCTAAAAAACAAACAGGAGAAGTTTGTCTGTCATTGGAACAGATTTCAGTCGAGGGTCTCTATAGTGTAAAGAATTTTATTTAACATTTCCATGAAATTTGATACCTGCTATTATACAGTACACATTAAACTATTTAACTTCACATACTTTAAAAGAAAAAAAAAAGTTATTTTCCCACTTGCAATAATAATGGACTGCTGTGCGTTCGACAACAAACAGTTGTGCTCAGTTTAGCAAACAATTCACACAACTGCAAAATTGTGTATTTTTCCTGTTCCATATATTACAGTTATGTACATACTCGCCTTCATCTCCTGACACATGTATATGCATATACAGAGTTTCTAAGAAAAGCAACACAAGTCATTTACTGTACTGCATGTTGAATTGTTTAGAGCTATTTCCATTTAAACTTACCCTCATCCTGAAATTCGAGTAAACAAAGTATGCTATTTCTCCTTCCATCATCTCTAAAAATGCCTGCAAACAACACAGGAATGTTTTCAGGCAATCTGGGACCACTGAGGTCATTAATGATTTACCTCCATATGGGCGAGACAGATTTCCATACGCTTCTCAGAGAGTTCATCGGGAAGTCAAAGCACCTTCTCAGCTTTACACCTCCAATCCCCGCAGATCGACTCATTAACAGGGCCTTAACACCTGCCTCTATTTACCCTTAAACACGCTTCTAATACGACTTCATCCCACCTTCCACCCGGGAGCTTATTCCTCACAGAAGAAGCGCTCATCTGACTCGGCCCGTGCTGTGGATATTCTTTAATGCACATTAACACAAAGATTCAGAGTACAATACAAACAGTTTAATTGTGTCATTAACAATCAGTAACCACTCCTAGTTAGAACATTTCTGCATAAAGAAACTGAGAAACACTTATAAAACAGTCAGTCGTAACAAAATAACTGGTGTTCTCATTGCAATAAACTCATAAAAAAAGAACCACTTTTTTTTATACATCATATTTATACAGGAATAGCTTTGAATTGTTAACCAAAGGAAGACACATTGCAAACATCGATTTCACACAAATTGCATATGTTTTTCTCTCTAAGGTGGTCTCTATAGGTTAGTCATTTTCCTAAGCTTATTTGCATGATAGTAAAAATTGCATACAACATTAATTGTGAAGCTCGTAGCATGAGTTGCTTGACATACAGCACTTTTTTAGGCAACCGTTAAAGCACATTTTCCATTTAAAACGTTAAGACACTTCTGATTTTACTGCCCATCAAAATTACATTTATAAATAGAAAAAGATCAGTAAAACGAAAAGCGCCGGGTGACGGAAATGTTCCCAAAACGTAATTACATCGGAACGCAAAATAAATAATGCAGGATGATGCTTGTGATTCACATTTGAAACTGTGGAAATCCAGGGTTTTACAGTGACCAAAGTTTTGCAAAATAATCTAACATCGGCAGTGCCATATAGTACAAGGCATTCGTTGGCATAGTTTCTTTAAGACTGTATACTTTTTTACAATTAATATAGGTCTATATATATATATATATATATATATATTTCTTCAAACCAAATAATAAGAGTGAGCCGTTTCCCCCCGGTTTACCTGCAGATCGTAGGGAACCAGAGACTGAGCCATCCTTTTTATTTCAAAGAGAATAACTCATTAGCCAGCAGTGCTCGACTCAGTACCTCATCATTAAGGCCTTTGTCTACCCCTCTTCTCCAATTTCATGCATTTTTTTTTCTTAAAAATCCAGTTAACATCACATATGTAAACATCAATGTCTATCAAACTCCGTTGACTTTCCTTTTTTTAAAATCAGTAGCTCAAAATCAGTTTAAAAACAACAGACAACAAGTGCAGTCAGCAAATATCCACAGCAACATACTGTTCACTTAAAGGAATAGTTCACGCAAACATGAAAATTCTGTCAGAAAAGTGACTTCCGAAGAATATCCAACCACTCTTTTCTATATAATGGTAGTGAATGAGAACTGGGGCCATCAGTGCAATTCAGATAACCAATTTGTGATATTTATACTGTGGACATGATTTAAAATTACTCGTACCATGATAACAATAACAAAATGATAAAATGAAATGAAGAGAATGAGAGAAGTGAGAGAAATAAAAAAAATATATTTTTTTGTATTTACTGCAAAAATAATCATACTAACATACTTGTACTGTTAACATGAAATAAAATTACTCATACCATAATATATAATTTGTCATGTCGCTCACCTCCAACACATCTAGAATATTTTGTTTCGAACTCAAGTGTATAATAATTTCAGTTTTTTTGCACTTTTGTCAGACTTGATTTGTTATAATTTAATTAATTATAATAATAATTACGGATAGAGGAGGCTGTGAGGGGTGCAGCAGGGGCAGGGGCAGGGGCAGCGGCACTTGGAGCAGAGAGGAAGGCTGTTGATGAGTCTGAGAGGGACGAGAGACAGACAAACACGCTACATGTCAAACTCAAGTCAAGTTTTCTGTTAAAGGGGTCATATGATGCGATTTCAAGTTTTCCTTTCTCTTTGGAGTGTTACAAGCTGATTGTGCATAGATAAGATCCCTGAAGTTGCAAAGACTAAAGTCTCAAAACCAAAGAGATATTCTTTATCAAAGTTAAGAC